ACAGAAGCATGAGAATGACCAGCCATTATAGTGTTTGGCTAAAATCTATCCACCCACATAACTTTTATATAGTGATTTTTAAGGCTTTTGATACTCCATATGTTACAGAGCACAGCAGATGTTTGTATAATTTGACTTGTAAATAAAATTCAATGAAGCAATCAAAATAATGGGCCTATTATACTCTAGGACAAGAACAAAAGGCAGAAATGTTAAAAGGAAGCCACTGAAGTTCCACTATTTCAGTACCTTTAAAAAGAGGAAAATTGTATCATTGCTTTTAAGCATTATAATTGTGCAAGCAGAGAGAGTATTTCTCCACCTCTCATAGCAATATATCAAATATATCTACAAATTAGGAAAATGTATGCAAAATTTTATTTTACAGCCTTTTCACAAGCTGCCTTCAAAGCCATTTTATATATTTTTAAAAATCCTTTTTCAGTGTTTGTGGGTAATAGATGTATTTCCACAATTGTTTACCTTATATTATATATCAGTTGTTCATTTAATTCAAGGTAGCTTCTTTATAAACTGTGCTTCCATGCTTGGTTTCGCAACCTTGATATCATGGATGATATGAAGTTCATACTTACTTAATTTAATGAAACAACACATGATCATAATGTTTGTACTATACATTCTGGATCTCTGAAAAGGGATTTACCTCCTATTCCACTTTATCAAACATTAGATTAAGAATCACTTCCCAATTACAAAATAATGTATACATGATAAAGGGTGTTTTAAAAAAAAATACAGGCCAATGTCATCTGCAAAGCACAATAAGGCAAAAACATAGCTGAAGTATTGCAGGCATATACAGTATACAATATTAAAAAGTAGAATACCAGACATGTGTGCAGACACCCACCCATAAAACACTCATATCAGGGAAACCTTCATTAAAATGATCATTAATTCCTGAATTTGTGACTTGATCTCAGAATCAAAACAGTAGCAAAAGGATAAGTTAAACTTCGGAATTAGAGCTTTCTTTTAAGGAGGAGGTTGGATGGAAGTATAAGTACTGAAGAGCATAGTTTAAAAATTATGTGCAATTGTGGCTTTGAATTTAGAAAGAATGATGTAAGAGCACAGGAAGATTTATGATACACAACATCTCAAGATCAAAAGAAAAAGAGTTGTGAAGTCTTGTGAAGCATGATTCCAAAATTAGAAATATCTTACTGCCTGATGTTTCTATCTTATTGAGAATAAGGACATCAAAGAATTAGGTTGGGGGAGAGAACTTTATATTTATGACATGGTTCATTTACAAAATAAAAACAATACAATTCTGTGTTCAGGGATAAAATAATGTAACTCACCGTAAACCTCATGAATAAACTAAATCTATGTATCTATATCAGGCCAGACCTATGGTGGCTACATTATCTGCTATACAGAGAACAGAATTTTTTTTTTTGGGGGGGGGGGGGGGTTCATTCAAGATTGTTATCTATTTGAAAGGTTAGCAGAAGTTGTCTAATTTAAAGATAGATGATCTGAAGGATAGCATGATTGAAGTTGCCCATAAGGAATAAGCATTTAAATAGCAGACAAAGCAGTAAAAGCATGTTTTATCTGTTTACAACCTTCTATATTATATGAAATTTACTCTCTTTCTATTTAAATTGTATTAAGCGTGCCTCTCTATTTAAATGAACATATACCAAAGTTACATGCAAATCTCTCTCTTTCTTTGTCCCCTTGTTAATGGTGCATAAGCAGCACCTTCTGGAATAATGTACTAATAACTTTCCGTTTCTTCCTTCCTGTTAACCAGCAATTTTGCTGTCTTCTGCCATGCATCCTGTTTCTTCCTATCCTGGGCAATGTTTTCAAACTTTTTTCTTCCCATGATGCATCATTGTATTCTTTAACAGGGCTACCAGATCTAGCCTGTGAAACTCTGATAATTACCAGGTAGCAGGAAAAGGCTGTTTTCTCCCTTTGATTGCTGCCATCTTGTGGCCGTTTTGCACGCAAGATCTGATAGCTTTTTATTTATTTGTTTGTTTGTTTGTTTGTTTGTTCATTTATTTATTTATTTATGTAAGCATGAATTAGATAACAGATATAACTATAGACATGATTATGAATATATGAAATGAATATGAATACAAGGGACTATTAGGACAGGGACGGTAGGCATGCTGGTGCACTTATGCACGCCACTTAAAGATCTCTTAGGAATGGGGTGAGTTCGACAGTAGACAGTCTAAGGTTAAAGTTTTGGGGGGTTGGGGAAGAAACCACAGTATCAGGTAGTACATTCTGGGCATTGACAACTCTGTTATGGAAGTCGTATTTTCTGCAATCAAGTTTGGAGCAGTTTACCATAAGTTTGTATCTATTGTGAGCTCGTATGTTGTGGTGGTTGAAGCTGAAGTATTCATTGACAGGTAGGACATTGTAGCAGATAATTGTATGTATGCTTTTATGTTGCTCTGAGTTTATGATTTAAACTCCGAACAACTTCTCTAGGCATTATGATGCGCTGTAAAAACTATGACTTGCCATGACACAGCATAGTCAAGTATTATTTTCCCAATCTTCAAAATAAAAAATACAATGATATTTTTTTTTATTTTACTCATCATTTTTTATTATTCCAAACAATCTGGAAAGATATCACTTTCAAATTTCTACCTATTCTATTCTTATGTCAGTCTGCTATTTGTCTCTCAGAAAAATAGTGAAAATTCAGTGTGACAAAAGAGACAAGCCTCAAAAAAAATGTTTACGAACTATATTAAGAGCAGGAATCTTAATAAAATAGCATCCTTTTTCTACTGAAAAAATATTGGCAGTTTACCATACTGTAATCTTTGCATCATTCTGAGCCTTATCTTTCTCTCATTTTCCTTTCTCTTATTTTGTTCAACAATCCAGAATTATTGATTTTTTACCTTAAACATTCAATTTGACCAAAACCAGTAATCAGTTATTTTTTTCTAAAATATGTGACACAGTCCCAAATGGATAATTTCTATAAGTGGTGTATAGTTTACATGTGGCTTTCCTTGTGTATGTCACCCAGTGGTGGGATTCAGCCAGTTCACACCTATTTGGGAGAACCAGTTGTTAACTTTCTAAGGAGTTCGGAGAACTGGTTGTTGGAAGAAATCTCATTTTGTTTTTGTTTTCCACTTTACAGGGCTAGTCCTGTAAGAAGGCAGGAAGGAAACATTCCGGTGTTGTTTCTAGCCTAATCTTTATTGCCCTGCTTACAGAAACTGCCTCTCCAGTTAACACATTACATTGTAACAGCTAAGGCAAAACCCCCATAGATCCGAGTGACGTTGAGTTGGGCACGCCCACCCAATCACATGACCCCTGTGCCCTGCCTATCCAGCTGGTCATTAGGGCAGAGAACCGGTTGTTAAATTATTTGAATTCCACCACTGATGTTGCCTATCCTGAAGATGGCAGGGTTTTTCAAAATCTGCATCAGTTCTGAAACTTTTAACTTAGGCTACTTGTGCCTAGTGTAGGCAGCTGACATTCAATTTCAGCACTTGCACTGACCCTGTGGATTATTTGTTCCAAATGACTAGATTATTTTTTTAATCATTATTTAATGCTATACTACCATTTAAAAAATAAAATGCACTGAAAAATACACTGAAAATGAGGAAAAACAAAAGAAAAATGAAGAAATATGGATCTGGAAATATGGAAATATGGAATCATTAGATAGCAAAACTGTGCCTACTTTGTAATTATCTCCATTGAAAACCAGATGAATAGTTTGACTGCATATATGAATAGGAGGATGGGTAGTTCTAATTTAGTAATCATAATTGGGTTCGATCATTCAGAGAAGCAGTTGCTAAGTGAATCTGCAATTAGACTTTCAATCTTACATCAGGTTTCCTTTGCTTTACAGTCCTGCGAAGGTCATAAATTTGAGGATTGGTTGCAAAATTTCCTTTTTTTAAATCAAAATTACTTTGCGGTAACTATGAATGGTCCCTAAATAAGGACTACCTGTACACTTCTTCTATCTTAATATAAAACATACTTTGTTTCATACAAAGATATTCCTAACAAATTTAATTAATGTAAAAAAATAACATTTTGATGCAAGAAGTAACAGGTTTACAGCAAAATAAATCACAGAAAAATGTAATATATTTATAATACAGAAAAGATATTTTAATTAATTAAAATAACAATGTTAAACCCACAATTCTCTGTTAATACCCATAACTTGAATTCTCATTCACAATCTGCAAAATCCCAACTTTAGGAAGATACTCTTTAATATCTGTCATATATTTTGTCACAAAATTCACAATATATTACATTTTGCTAATATGAAAACACTGTTAATGTCTATTTCTAAGCTAAATACACATTGTTAACAATAATGTTTAAGCAGTAATGAACAAAGTGGTGTGTGTGAAAAAAAAGGATGATTTCAAGAAATAAGCATATAGTATTTCCACACTTAGCCCTGTCTTGAAAACATAGGTTTCTACTATTAGTTTATACCCATACATAATCCATTGATTTATAAAGTAATTCTTCTATTATACACTAGTCTTTTTCTGGAGACAGAGACAGTAGTTAAAGTACTGGAATTATTATTTCTTTACACTTTTTTATGGATTTCTGTATGTATAACGCATTTCATCTTACATTCTGAAATAGCAATATTTCCATTTTTTCATGCAAGCAGATTTGGTTAATACAACATAATAAATAAACAGAGTAATAAATAATTTTATAAACATAAACATAATGAACAATTTTAAGTAAAGCAAAAAGTTTATAAAATGATGAGTGATACAATTATGAGAGGATGGAAGGATGGATGGATAGATGGATGATGGATAAATGAATGGATGAATAGATGAATGGATGGATGGATAATCAACATTTTGTTTATGATTTTGGGAAAATCATTTTGAAAGGGAAGAGTTATATATTCGTTATAGTTAAGTATAACAAAAGTCTGTACAACTTTTTAAAATAATAAATAACCTTACCCTTATCAGGTGATTTTGCACAGCACTCCAGAAGAGCTCTGCTTCATTCATTTATTGGTTTGTTCACAACTTTTCCTTACTGCTCTACTGAGTTCTGACACTGACAGAGGATCTCATCTTATTACTATTTTCTAAAATAAAAACATACGTGTTTTCACATTGTCACATTTTGCAAAGACCAAAAGAGAATAAGCAAAAGAGCCCTACAGAATATCAATCCCATCACAATATCTCTTTGCAGTCCCAAATAATTAAAAAACCTAAGGGCACCATGAACTAAACTACAGTCTTTATATGAAAACCAGTTCTTCCTGACGTCCCACAATGCCTATTGTCATTATCTCTACTTGAAATATTCCATAATGCCTTCTTCATACCATCAACAATATTTCCATCCTTACCTTTCGTTTTATAGCAAGATCACATTCCACCAAAACATCCTGCAAAGCTTGGTGCAAAAAAGGCCCCAAAGAATCAGAATGCAGAAGCTCTATAACTTGCTGACTAACTTTGTCCAGTGTTATTTACTAATGACACAAAGAAAATGCTGTCTATTCAAAACAGAGTTCAGAACTCTTTTCACAGAAAGTGAGTGAACAAATGGTCCCATGTCCCAAGCTGTAGGCACATCCCCCATGAGGCTTGCTGATTGTTGGAGCATGGAACGAAGTGACACCAACGCTATTCAGCCACCACAAGGCATTTCTGTAAACAAATGTGTTTGTGAGTCTGTGTGTATGTGTGTTTGCCTACACACTCACACACATGGCTTCTCTTAAGGAAAGTAGCACTATACAATTGTAATATTTAGATCTAATAAAGTTACAGGTTGAGGCTGCCTGATTGTTACGTTCAAGCTTCATATCTTGAAGCACGTTTGCTTCTTTTCAAACGATCAAAACTCAAACAGGATTGAGTTGCTTCAGCCATCCGGCATCTCCCTCTTTAAATAATGGGCCAAGGAGTCAGGGTCAAAAACATTTCCTCATGTAAGGAAATTATATGACTACATGAAAGGGGATGGTTTCACTAACTGAAGCCTAGTTAGCCTATAGGAAAATCTGGCCCTGGATATGTCAATAGATGGATATCCCATATAATGTTCTACCTAAACTGTATATTAGGTACCAACAGTTAAAAGCAGAAACAAGAATATAAATTGGAAGTGGGGAAGTATAAGTTATCTGGAGAAAATGAACAAAATTTAAGTGTGCCTCCAAGTATTGTTCTTGCTTTTTCAGAAGAATTGTTATTATTTCAATTAATAATCAAGTCCTTCAAAAATGAAGAATGCTTTTATTTTTCTTCTAATAATCTAGTGACAACAGTTAATAACAATTCATGCCTTTTCTTTAGTTACCACCATATGGGTCATTGTGTCCGAATATTGGTTTGGTTCCACATTTGGTCCTTTTTAATGCTGTTTGGCCATCATCTGTTGTAAGCAGTAACAAATATTGGTGTCAGTTCTTCTGCTTTCTTCAGATTTGATGTGAGTTGGTGATGATTAGAGAGGAGAGATATGGCCCTTGGCCTCCATGTGTAGAGTACTGCACAGTTTAGTGCTTACTCCACTCTTACATGAAGCTTTTGGGTGAACTAATCTGTTGTTATGGAGTGACATATCATCGGTATGCTGATGATATCCAATTATGCATCTCTTCCCCTGGCAAATTAAGTAATGCTATTGATGTCTTATCCCAGTGCGTAGAGGCAGAGAATGGGGTTCTGAATGGGAAACAATAGGTTTCAATTGAACCTTGGCAAGAATGAGTGACTCTGGGTTTGGGGGCTTACCGTTTCTGAGACTAGGTGATATTTGGGTTGCAGTGTAATCACCTTCTCACTGTAATATGTTTTATGGGGCTGCCATTGAAGTATATCTGTAAGCTTCAGCTGGGATAGAATGTGTTGGCCAGGGCTGATGTATCTAAGGGACTGCCTCTTACCAATTATACTACATAAGTCCAAAAGAAAAGGTATGTTGTGGATTCCATCTGCTTAGGAGTTACATTTGATATGACCCAGGGGACAGGCCTTTGTTGCCATGGTATCCATCCTGTGAAACATCATCTGACCATATGATATTGGCCCAAATTCTGCCAGCCTGCCAATAAACCTTAAAACCCTGGTTGTGTCAACAGGCTTCGGGTTTTTAAGAAAGTTGTGATCTGATGAGATGGGTCCATGGTTCATAATCTGATAAGCTTCTTAGCTTTTACATGATATCATTATTTTTTTGTACTTCCAGAATGTTTTTGAAAATTATTTTATGATTTGTGACAAATCTAAATAAATAATCTTATGTATAAATATAGTTACATTTGAATAAAAATATGTAAATTCTCGGGATTTAAAAATATATAATTTGGGGAACTTGTAAAGCACATTAGGCACTTCTTCCAAAAATCACTGCCCCATGCCACACCACCCACCTACCACTCAGGCAGTGGTTGCCCAGGCCAACCAGATTACTGCTCAGGATACATCATAACTTGAGCATCTGCTTTCCTGGCGTAGAGGGAGCTTGCTTGAGATAATGTTCTCTATTTTATTTTCAGAAATGATGGCGCTGTCTGACCTTTTTTCTAAAACACCTTGAGCCTAGCATCAGCCATTAGAAGATTTGTAACTGCATTCCGCTTGCAAACTTTGAAACCGCTTAGAAATCTTGCTGTGATTTCATTTAAAAAGGGGGGAGGGACAGCGAAAGAACTAGCTGCAAAAAGCATTCAATTCTCATTTTAACTTGCTATTGGTTTTCCAAAAAGGATTAAGTATCGTTGGGAGAATAAAGGGTAATTCAAATAAAAAAATAAAGTTATATAATCAGTTTAACAGTAAATCCAAGCAAGGATTATTTCACAAACAAGAAGAGCTACTGTTGCTGTTTTTGTCTTTTTGTACTGCCTGCTTTGGCCCTTTAAAAACTTTTCTTCCACAACTCACTCTGCCAGGCTACTGAACATAGCTCAGGGAAATAATCGTTTGCACAACATATTGTTATTTAATTAACAAATAAACTTTCAGTTTTTGGGGAGGGACCACTTGGGCCAAGTGTCCTTTGTCACTCAGTAAATCTCAATAATAAAATGCCTCTGGCACAAAGAACTGTAAAACGGGGTGATGATAGAAAGGGATTCTTGTTCAACAGCTTTTAAAATGGCTTGTTGCTTGACTTGTCTGTTGTTACAGCACAATTTCAAACCCTTTTAAGTTCCAAACTCCTCCTCTTTGTGCAGTCTGCCAAGATAGTACTTAAAGGATAAGAGGGAGTGGTTGCTGTTTAAAAGGTTACAGAAAAGGCTTGGTATTAGCAGACAGATAGTCTAATGGGATGATGCTGGGAGGGGAAGGTGCAAGCAATTCCCTGAAAATAAAAGCCAGAAAGCTATATTTTGGTTTTTCAAACAAAACAAAACAAAACAAAACAAAATCATTAAAGGGGAAGATAGGCAAATAAAAACAGAAAAGGACCACAGAGTAAACTGAAAGAGAAATTCTGATTTGATTTCTGCAAAATACTGATAATCAGATAACTTTTTCTTCAATTTGACATTTTAAAGAGTAATTTAAATATATCCATTGTTGATATCCATCCTTAATACACATCTTTTATATGTATATATGTTGATTCAGGTGTAATATATATAAGTTTTAAGAGGGTTTATATCTGGACATGTGGGGAAAGGCTTCTTATCATAGAACAATAACACTATTGTTGATTTCTAGAAAAGTTGTTTTTAATACACAATATCAGAGTTGAAATAACAGACCTTGGAAATCTTCTAGTCCAACCCCCTGATCAAGCAGGAAACCTTATACCATTTCAGACATTGATTGTCCAATCTCTTCTTAAAACCTTCCAGTTTTGGAGCATCCACAACTCCTGTAGGAAAGCTGTTCCATTGATTAATTGTTCTGTCAGGAAATTTCTCCTTAGTTTTACTTTGCTTCTTCCCTTCATTAGTTTCCATTCTTCTTGTCCTGCCTTTAGGTGCTTTGGAGAATAGTTTGACTCCCTCTTCTTTGTGGCAACCATTTAGATATTGGAACATGCTAGCATGTCCCTCCTACTCCTTCTTTTCATTAAACTAGATATGCCCAATTCTTTTTATATGTTTTAGTCTTCAGTCCCTTAATCATCTTTGTTGCTCTTCTCTGCACTCTTTCCAGAGTCTCAATGCCTTTTTTTTTTACATTGTGGTCACCAAAGCTGGATACAATATTCCAAGTGTGGTCTTAGAGTTACGAAAATAAGATATATACTTTTATTTTCTTGTTCATTTTCCTTCCTTACTTTGATTTCAAAGGCATGTGACAGAAAGTGATGAAAGAAGGAATGAAAAAAAATGATTTTAGCTTATATCCTTTATCCTATGTCTAAATATACTGATTAGCTTGTGAGGATGCTGTTCTTAGTGAGGTCCATTCTATTATATGGCACAGTTTTTCAAACTTGGCCACTTTAAGGTGTGTGGACTTCATTTCTAGAATTTCCCAGCATCATTCTGGGAGGTGAAGTCTATACATTTTAAAGGGACCAAGTTTGAAAAATACTGTGCTATAATTTTAAAGGCCCTACTGAGAAAAATTATTTTTCAGAAATCATATGATGCTTCAAGGGATAGAATTCAAATAACATATGCTGGCAAGGTTTATGTTTCTATATTTACAACATCTTTTACTATCTTGTGCATAAAGCTCTTTTAGTTATGAAAAATATCACAAGGTAGAATGGGGGGGGAGGCATGAAAGAAAAAAAACTATAGATTACATTTTTGCCCAATAGAAAGCTAGTACCAGCAGGCTCATATATTTACAATGATCCTGGTTGCTAGGTAGATGGGCAGCATTTTATGATTACTTCATTGTTGTTACTGTTCAGTGGTGGGTTTCAAAAAATTTTATTACCGATTCTGTAGGCACGTCTTGGTGGGCATGTCTTGGTGGGCATGGTAGGGGAAGAATATTGTAAAAACTCGATTCCCTTCCACTCCAGGGGAAGGTTATTGCAAATTTTCCATTTCCTCCTGATCAGCTGGGACTCAGAAGCAGAGAATAGATTGGGGCGGGGCCAGTCAGAGGTGGTATTTACCAGTTCTCCAAACTACTCAAAATTTCCGCTACTCGTTCTCCAGAACTGGTCAGAATCTGCTGAATACTACCTCTGTTACTATTGCACAAATGGACACACTTTCAGAAAACCAGTTGCATTCATGGTGAAAGATGATACAACATTTATTTATTTTACAGATCTATATGATGACCAAAGTGGCTAAATATGGTTTATGGTTTATAAACATTAGAGAGTGCATATTTTAAAAACTGCCATTGTAAACACTTAAAAAATATAAAATACACTCTCCAATAATATTATTGTAAAGGGTCAGATAGATTGCCTCAGTTCTAGCCACAGTTTTTTTTTATATAACAAATTACCACTATCCCACTAAGCATATTTTTTTAAAAAAATTACTGTTTGGTACCGCTACT